AGAATTTTTATACAGTTATACAATGAAATAAAGTATAAAACGGGCGGTTTTTGGTGCATGTTTAATAATTAGAATATAGCTACTTTCAATAGAACTTTAACCCTTAAACAGGATTGTTTATTTAGCTGTTTCATATTTGAATCATGTTATTATCAGACCATGTGTTTCACGGTGAGGATGACGTTATTTATCTTGTGTTTCATTCTTTGCATTTCAGAGTTTTGGCTCATTTCATGAAATTCCGTGAGGCCGTGTTGTGTTTACATGTTAATAATGGTGATAAATAAAACATTTCAAGCACGTAGATGTTGCCAATAAAAGGTTTAAACATGAAATGACAAAAAAAAAGAAAATAAGTGTAATCTAGCGGTTTGAAGTCGCCCGCCACTCGCTCTGTATTTGTTTTTTGCTCTTTTTTTCTTTGGGTTGATGATGTTTTGTTCTAAACGGTCGGTGTCAAAGCTTCCTGCTTGTTTAGTTTGGGGTCGGTGCTGAAATGTCTTCTGTTGGTTTAAAGGGACGTTTGTGATGGATTCAGTCTTAGATTTTTACTCCTGTTTTCATCTCTGCTGCATCACTCAAACTTCATACATGGAAAAATGAGAAATAAACTGTTTGAAAGTTGTTACAGACGCTGTCTCATTTATACATGTTCCACAAGCTTTACTTTCTATCTGTAATACTTTATAGTTTCTCTTTTAAAAAGGTCTAAAGGTTTGTGAAGTGTGTTGGAGAAACTACGGTGGCTGAGAAAACTCAAAAGCCCCTTTCTAGAGCCAGTGTTTGGTTTGTCCGTTCTAGGCTGCTGTAGAAAGATGGCGGACTCTGTAGAAGATAAAAACGTCTCATTTAAAGGAAACAAAAACACAACTATTGTTATTTCCAGGTGATTACACACTAATAAAAATATACCTATGAATTTTATATTTCTGACAATACATCCTCCTGAATGTTACACACTGGACCTTTAATTGTTTTCTTGCTGAGATTCAGATGCGATAATTAATAGCCAGGAATTGGTTAGCTTAACTTAGCATAAAAATTGAGGAAGACAGACCTGGTTCTGTCTGTACCTATCAAAAGCCGCCTATCAGAACTTTTTAAGTTCACAAACTAACATGTAATATTGCTTTTGTGTTATCTGCACTAAAACAGAAATGTAAAAATGTGTGGTTTCTGTTACGTTTGGACCGAGCCAGGCTAGCTGTTTCGATTCCTGTCTCTGTGCTAAGCTAAGCTGACAGAATGTTGGCTGTAGCTTGATGTTCACTGTACAAACATAAGATATGTTATCGATCTTCTGATTGAACTCTCAGGAAAACAATTGATAAGCACATTTCCCAAAATAACCGTTCAGGGATTCACACGAACATGTTGGCTCCATAACCTTGTCTCTCAGTATTTAGAGCACCTCTGCCCTGTGCTGAACACTACTGACTTATTTTCTTTCTTAAAGATATTTCAAAGATTCCAAATTCCTACACCAAGTAGTTTTTTTTTTTTTAATAAAAGTGTGCAATGGTAAATTCATTCATGTATGAAAGGGACACATGACATGAACTGGAGTGAAGACATGCAGCATCATAAACCCAAAATGTTGGATGATTGAATCATGCAGTCTAGAAAAACTGATTTGAAAGCTGTCACTGAAGACCATTTCAGCAGTCTACGATCATTATTTCTGTATTCATCTTTTAAATTAAATAAAAGAATCTTGTGCAAATTAAATTCACTCGATTCATGATCTGCAATCAAAATCTTCTTTTTATACCTGTCTCTGTCAGGGGAGTGAAAGTTGCTGTCTGGTCTCAGACATGTGGTGCTGGCACTCCTCACTCTGTCCAACGATGGCTGCAGGTCGCTGCACCGCCACAACATGGCAGCAGAGAGGGACAGAAAGGAGAGAAAGAAACAGAGATGGAGACAAGGCGTACAAGGACAGAGGATGCAAGCAGAGGTGTCAGGGAGAAGAGGTTGTGAATAATGTGAGAGAACAAAAGGCCGATGAGTAGGAGGTAGACAAAAGAAAACAGAGAAAGTGAGAAAAAAGAAGGATAATGTGAAGTAAAGTTAAGAAAAAGGGAGCATAAAGGAGGTAGAGGTAAGGAGGGAGAGACAAAGAGAGAATAAGGAAGGCCATCAGACAGTGTAGTAACATGTAATGGCTCTGGTGCTGTATCTCCATTTATCATAGCCAGTCATTCCTCGCGGCCATACACTGTGAGACCACTCAGATGGAGGGTTGGTGAGTTGCCATGGGAACCAGGTCTAAGTGGGAGAGGGGACTGCTTGTTAAGTGTGTGAGGGGGTGAATGAGTGAGGAGGAGAGGAGCAGCCAGCGTCGCTCTGCGCTGCGTACGCTCACAGCTGCATGTTTGTCACGTCATGCAGCTCTGTGGCGACAGTTAGTTTCAACAGATGGTTGGCTCCCTGCCATCGCATGACATTGCACATAATGTTTTCAGGCCAAATGCCTCACATGGATGGCAACAAGGGCTTAGGAGTTTGTTTAATGCTCTGCCAGTACGTGCTTTAAGCCTCTGCTATACGTTGTCAGACAAAAAAAGGGAGAAAGACGAGGTTGTGGGCAGAGGAAGGACGAGGGAAGAGATGGTGCGTGAAGCGGGCGTGTTCTTACCTAACAGTGACCTCATCAGTGAACCTGAGCACACGGTGTGTAAGGATGCTACGAGGCATGGTGCTGCCCCCTTCGTGCCTGTGGGGTGGCTTGCTCTTTAGGCATGCAGGGAGGGTGGAGCTGTGCGCCAGAGCCCCGCCCACGAGAGGCAGGGGGAAAGACCCGCGTGCAAAGGAAGGCAAAGGAAAACAAAAATGACACATGCAAGTGGCAGAAATGAGCAGAGAGAAAATACGTGGGGGGGAAGAAAACACAAACTAAGCAGGCTTCTTGCAAATGAGCAGGAGAAGACATTCACACTATCACACTATGGAGCAACATAAAATATGGTTTCCCTCTTAGCATCTCTCTACACAGTTTACGCTACAGCTTAGTAGAAAGGGAGGATTCTCAAAAAAGATGAGATTGGTTAGCCTTAGATTAGAAGTGTGCCTGCTGCTGCGTGATGCTGGTGATCACTGGAAACACCACGCGCAGCATATTACTACATGAACACATGAGATGACCTGCATCCTGTCTGGGACCTCAGAGTGAGGAATTCATTACGTAAAAGTGTAGTGACAGTTACTCTTGTACTCCCTTAGGATGGAGCCCACACACATATATGGGGAGATTACATGTAATGGTGATTATATAACACAATCTACAGATCTAAAGCCGTGGAGGCAGCACGTGGCGAGGCTACAGTAGATCTGTAAAATGTATAAAAGTGCCATTAAGAGGATTAGAGCAGAACAGAGAAATGGAGAAAATTGCTTATACAGGAGGTCTGTGTGTCCGGTGGTTATGTAGCCAGGAATGAGGCCGTACAGTAAATGTGACTGATGATTATGTGTAGAGAAAGTATGCCATGTATGTACCAATATGCACTGTTATGATCTGATACAATGACAATTATAATGCCAGGATCAACATCTAATAAGTACATTCAAGGAGTATACTGGTGGTTTTGCACGTTTTAGCCTGTTAACTGCAAACTCACATATTCTTTATATTATGCTGACCATTTCCAGACCATTCAATAAGTTTTGGACTGATTTCCCGGCAGTCATTACTACGAGGTACTCCAGCAAATTAGTGTTGCATTTCCCTAAAGTAATTTGCCAGAGATATCAGGCATAGACCATATAGAAAACTCAGTAAGGGATGGAGACAGATTAAAAAGGAGAATAGTTTTGGATATATACTGCATATTGAAAGCTACACATTACCCTGGTTTAAATGGGAAACTGGACTTCTGGTTTTCTGTAACTGTATTATCTTGTTTTTTGTTTTTTAAGCATCTGAGTCCTTTGAAAACATCATGTGTCTTCTTGCCTGAATGTACTGAAAAAGGAAATATTATATATAATATATATGAATTCCTCTGCACAGGTGGTCTGTCATGTGACTTTATCTGTCTACTCTAATCATGTAACTACTTACATGACCATACTGATCATCTGACTACTGCCAACAGGTGTAAGAAAGGCAGCCATTTTGTATTTGCCTGGATGAAGGATGTCTGAAATGCACATGCATGTTTTTGAACTGTCACTATGAGTAAATATCTGTGCAATATTAAAGGCTTTCTGTGACTTCCACTCAGATTTCTTAAACAATCTCCATAAAATAGTTTGAGACACATTTTGAAAAGAATTGTTAAAATAGATGCAGCAGAGGCCAAGATATCCTAAACTTTAGTCCCTACTGTGTATCTAACTCCAAAAGCCTAGATCCTATGTTTCCCATAATGCTACTAGCATAATAATGCTAATGCTACTAGTTGTATTAACCCAGTTACCCAGGCTTTCTGTTCCAAATAAATAGTGTGACACAGGAGACACTATAGTGTACTTTACAAGCTGTGTGGTAGTCCCCATGTTTAGTAAATTGACGCTGAACTTCGAGCAGCTCTTTGAGGCGGTGAGAGTGGTGCTTTGAGCTAAATGCTAACAATGGCAATATTAGTATGCTGATGCTCTGAAGGTATGATATTTACTGTGTTCACCTTCACCAGCATGCTAGCCTGCTAATTAACACTAAACACAAAGTAGAGCTGAGGCTGATGGGAATGTCATTAGTTTTGCAGGTATTTGATAAAACCAAAGTTGGATAAAGTGACATTTTTATACAGTTTCTATAATGTTTCCTCATTGTTGCATTCTAATAACACAATATCCCAGACTTAAGATTCTAACAGTGAAAAAGAAATGGCTAAATTCATATTATTATTTTCACAATGTCCATGGTTGCTTATGGTTTAGCTTGCACGTTTGATTATCCGACAACACAGCAAAATCCAGATGGCAGAGCTCCCTTTACTGAACCAGTTACTTCCTGATCTCAACTGTTACCTTGAAAGTAGAATCAGTCTAAAACCTTTGATATGCTTTGGAAAATGTTCAGAGGTGACATAAAGTATATGTGATTTGTAGTTATAGTATGTTCTACAACATGTAGAAGGACTGCATCGTACAGAGGGAAAAGCAACACATAGCATTTAGTTAGACAAAGCGGCACCATGACAAAGCAACTTGGCACACACTCCAACTGAAGCAAGCACAAGCAGCACAGTGGTCTGGGAGACAAACGGGCATTTATTGTGTTAAGAGAACACCGCCACAACTAAATGAACCACCAACTCCACAAATGAGTCTGGGAAAGCTGGACAGGCACAGAGAGGGTTACGCAAGACTGCCTTTCACGCTAAACGCTTACCTGTAAATGTCTTTATGGATACCGTTTACTAACAGGGGCATTTTGGGGGGAAGTGTGTTGCTGTATCTACCTACGCCCCTGGTTGCGTGAGTGGAGATCATGCAAGTAAAGCAAGACAAGGAAAAAAAAATAGAAAAAATATACAACTGCTGTGAGTGAACACAAAATGCAAAAAAAGAAATTAATCAAAAGAGCTTTGCCTTCTTTGAGGTCAGTCAGTGAGCAGTTCTCTAATCCCCTCACACAGTGATCAGAGTGTTGTGTGTGTTTTTATGAGACAGTGATAGACAATAGTCAGACATGAATTTATGAGTGTGCTACAACTACTTGACCCTTGACACTTTTGTCTTCATGCAGTTGCAAAAAAGACACACTCTAAAGTATCTACAGTCCATTCAAAATAATCAACGCACTCTGTTTGCATTGAAAACATTAACATTAGGTGTGTTAAGATGGAGTTGTTAAAGTATAGTGAGGATGGAAATGATGATCAAATGGCATATTTTATTAAAATAAAGCTGAATGGTGGTTGTTGTCTTTGTCTTTTCTTTGTTTTTTTTACCTGTTTGTGTGCAGGCACTCGGCACTCCCGCCCCGGATAGACCTGTGCATCTCCAGGACCTCACTGTCATTGCCATGACGATGGGTGAACAAATGAGAAACAACCCGAGAAAACACAACAGAAGAGGATGGCAACTCAGACAGGCAAAGTGAATTTATGAATGAGAGAAACCAGGAAATCATAATTCTGAAATTTCAATTAAGTCTGCATCAGCAGTACATAATGATAATAACAAACTTAGTATGTTGCAATGACTAGTTTCACACTGTTAGTAGTATTAGTAGAAATTCCCTAGGTAATATTACATTACACAAAACAAGATTCAACATAAATAATAAATATTAGCAAGTCGAGGCTCCATAAGCACATTTTGGAACTGATGAAGACCAGAGCTGCTGTCAAATCATTGCTGAATGAGCCACTAGGGGCACTGATCCAATGTGTGTGTGTGTGTGTGTGTGTGTGAATCTTGTTTTTTTCACGTTTTTTAGGCCTATATATTATATTATGTATGTTATATACATAATTTTAGATCACTTTTTAAAATAAAAAGTATTTTAAGTAAAAAAATGAAAACATCAATAAACTTTTACTTAAAAAGTAAAAAGTCAACTAAAACACACTGTCATAACCCACCCCACACCTGTGATGATCCCCACAGATCCCAGTGACAGGTTACCTGTCCTCAGAGTACTCGTAGTCCGAATCACCGGAGCGTTGGTGCTCCAAGTGGGAGTCATGGTAGCGTGAGGGGGAGTGGGAGTGGGGGCGGTTCTGGTGGATCTCATCCAGACTCCTGAGATGTATGATAAGAATTTTAGTTCATAAGTCTGAAGATTCAATATGTCGATGATACTTTTTACAATATGAATTAATAACAAATGATAAGATGTGATTCAGCAAACTGAAGTGCATTGTAGATGCCCTGGTGTTCTTGCTTGGATTGGTTCGAATTTAAGATTTTTAACAAGAATAAGAATTCAGGGTCAGAATTACAAAGCATAACACACCTTTACAAAATGTAAATATACATATGACCTCTTATGCGTTAAGTATTCTTCTGACAGAAATGCTATTCTCATGCTGTTTCACAAACTATTATCAATTGCTTCTACTTTGCATTTTCTTCCACTTTTCATTCTTCAATGCAAGTGATTTGGCCATACAGTAGTGTCATTAAAAGCCTTAATACAGTAAATACACATCAACAAGCAGCATTGAGTCCCTGGTACATATACAGTAGAGTCAGACCACACAATAATCTCATTAAAAAGCAAAAATGTCACTTGTTTTGAACATTATCTGGTATATATAATGCTTATATATAGTGTATATATATTGACACATTGATTGATTGGTTGATGCTGGACTACTGTCACCACAGTCAACACACACTCCACTGACAGTTCACCAGGTGATTTCTGGCAGGTGATGCTGACCTTTGCATGGGCACGTGTGCGGGCCGTGACCGAGCCCTGCAGGAGTCCTCTCTGTGAGGAGACACTGAGCGGGAGCGGTGCTGGACGGGCCGCTGCTGCTCAGGCACAGCCAACGTACTGCCTCGCTCTCTCTCCCTGGAATTACGCTCTGCACCTACACACACACACACACACACACACACACACACAGAGAGAGATCCAGCACGCATACACCCACACACAAGGGAGAAAAAAAGCAGAACTCCCACATACACACACATTCATACAAATATGAATACAACACACACACCAGAATAGACAGACACACACACACACACATACAGGCATTAGTTGTGTGTCCTCTGATAGGGATGCACCAATCGTCAGTGTAGTGCTACTGACTACCACTACAGATGCCATTCTCTTACAGACTGTAGAACATCACATCGGGATGTTTTACAGACAAATGACCAGCTAGCAAACAGGTTAGCTGGTCATGTGAGCTAGCCTGAGTGGCTGACTGTTTCTGCAGTGTTTCTGTCAGACCTGAGATCAGTGAGATTTGCATCTCTCCGCTTTTTTTTTTCTAACCTGCATGGAGTGCCAAATGCGATGAGAGATCAGACTTTTAACCCCAATATATAGGTTATATACTGTATAATCCAATAATACAGATACAACAAATGCATGAGATCCATAATTACAGAACCTGTATTAGCCTAATTGTCTTGCTACATGTAGATATAGAATTCCAAAGTAGAGGGAATTATTTTGGGCGTTCAGGTTTTCAGAAGTAAACCGTTCATTTTCTGCACACAGTTAGGTCAGGTGACACATGAAAGTCTCCTGGTTGGATCGTCATTACAAAAGATGTGCAACATTGATCAGGAAAATCTGTGTTCTAAAGAAAACTACAACTCCCAAGATGCAGTTTAAGAAACATCCATTCCCCAATCTTAAATTCCTTTAACTTACATCCAGCAGAAGGTAGTGTATGCTTTTTAGAAAACTGGCAATACAGTCTGCCGCTTAAATTAACCCCTCTTTTGGATTCTGGGTCATCTATCTCTTTTTTGTTCTGCAACTGTAAAGAAAAATTTTGATTTTGCTACAGCTCTGATTTGCATCTCTGACAGGCTTCTTCTCCATAGCAACTGTGGGTATTGCAGTATGTATTTAGAGCTATTTGCCACACTTTGCAACTAAAAAAAACCAATGACTTCTCAGTAAGGAAAATTACATAAATTAAAGTGATAGCCAGAGCCTGCTGTAAAGTATCATCACATCATTACGTGTCTGTAGTGAGGAACATTAAAGGTATCATAAAAAAAAACAGGAACCAACAGGTATTTATCTGTCTAAAGGATGAGATGTATTACATATATATTATAAAATGTATAAAATAATGCAGATGCATAAATGTGTCCGGAGAATACAAAAATGTACATTGCTTGTGCAAAAGATCCCAATCTGAGCTCAGTGTTTTCATGAGAATAAAATTGGCATGGTGGCGTTCCAATAAGTCGGAGATTGTGTACACGTTCTAACACATTTTAAACTCCTCAATGTGGCACACCATATCCATCTGGCATTTTGAAACGCGAAAATGAACCACAAAAAGCTGTGAATATTTAAACCAGGTCCTCATTCATCTGACAGGAAATGAAGCCACAGCAGAAACAGTCAAACAACAAAGCAGTTGTAGTGATTCTACTGACCAAAATAACACAAATTCAGCTTCTACTGCACATGTTCAGTGTCCTTTCAGTGAAGTGAGCAACTTCCGGGCAGGACTAGAAGCATGCAGGAGAATGGCAGTGAACAACTGTAGCTCTACAGTCTAACATGCACTCAGTGCTTCAGTGTATCTATGGCCCAGCAGAAGAGGAGAAACTGTCCACGCAGCCTCAGTGAAGGAGTACAGTACGCTGCTAAACTGCAGCACCATGAAGGCTGTACACCACAACACTGCAATTCAAAACCTGCAGTCCAGTAGCAGTATGATGAATTGCAAAAGTCTTTGGAGTGTTTCCTTTTGCTGATACAGCAAAGATTAATTACTTTAATTTTGGTGCAATTTGTTCTAAAACATACAGCCAAAAGGAGGCTGGAAGGTTTGGGAGAAAGATGGAGGATGCAAAGAAGACGCTCTCTCACCCAGTGCTGGACGCCTACAGGCTAACACAAGAAAAGGCTCAGTAACCATGCCCCCCACCCACCTTTAGACACTACCATCAAACCATCATCAAACTCTGTATCAATGATGCGCTGAGACCCTGCACACGTACACAACACACACACACACACACACACATAGGACAGGATAAGGTTGAGAGGTTCTGTTGTCAGTCTCCCACACTGAGAGACACAAAAGAGAAAGCTCAGAAAAGGGAAAGGTTAGCAACCACACACTCACACATACTGTAGGCTCACAAAACAGGGATTAAATCATACACACACACATATTTGTAAACACAGTCTGTACAAATACCGTATATAACCAGACATACTCTGTAGTTTCTTGCTGGGGCTGTCTCCGTGGACATGTCTGCGTGGAAGGTACGGGGAGGGCTGGGGCAGAGGTATGGAGGACACATCATGTGTCTGGAGTTTATACCAGTGAGGAATGTCGTCCAGCAGAGCCGTCTCCAGCTCTATCAGGATCTGAGAGAGGACAGAGAGGGACGGGTGGAAGAGGTGAGCAAAAGAGAAACACATCCACTGAGGATCCAGGTGTTTGGGCTGTTGAGACTCTGTGGAAACCTCTATAATGCAGGAGACCTTAAATGCAGGAGTTCACAACCTTTGGTTTGTTTCTTCTTAATATAAGGAGGTGCCAACCTGAAACTGCTCATCACAAGTCACAAATGATGAGTTGTGTGAAGAGTTGTGTTTTGTATGTTTTCATTAGTGTATATTCACCTTAAGAAAAAACAAACCTTGTGTTTTCACCTATTTCACCACTACAGTTTCTCCTACACGCTTGTAATGCTGAGCTGTATTCAAATGGTTGCAAACTTCAACTTCTGTAGTGTATGGCTATACTGTAAATGATTATTCAACTTAGGTTCAGGAGCAGGGCCACACCTTAACCACACCCTCCCTCAATCATCTGGCAGTGCTACTTACTAGCCTGGCGTCAACCCCCTCCGGCTTGGAGACGAGAACCCCCACACTGAGTCTCCCACTGCCCAGCCTTCAGCACGTCCTCCAAGACCAACCTAACTTTTTCCACCTTGTCCCCTCCACATCCACATTAATTAATCTATCCTCAAAACCTTAAAAAACGTTTATTGAAATATTGTTGTGCCGTGGTCCTTGCCACTGAAATTCTAGTCAACACACCCCAGGTTTATAACTGTGTCAAATGCATTTGGGAACTGGCTAAAAAAGCAGGGAATAGTGTAGAAAATAATCTGGAATTTTCTATTTGACGTAATGGTGCAGTCAGAAAAAACTTGACCTAGAGGTTTAAGATGCTGATCATGTAATTGTAACAAAAAACGTAATATTGCTGTCAATGTACATAAGTGTCACTAAGAAAAAAAGCTATGTTTCTACAGAATATAGTGTATATAATGTTTCAGATAACATTACAGTACATCCCTGTTTACTCTCCCATTAAAAATCTCCCAAATAGCAGCAGTATATATATATATATATATATATATTTACAGCATAATAATAATTTTGCAGCAAATGCTCAATCTGCATATCGGACCATACAGTATAAAAAACATATATGGATATATATGTGTCACCCACCTCTCCCAGGAATTCACTCTCCTCCTCCTGGACTCTGGGCTGGTCCCACACTGTGATCTCTAGCATGCGTTCTCTAAAGTCCCGCCGGTGAACGTGGGAATATAGGAAGGTCTGGTTCCACTTGGGCTCAGCGCTCTTCTTCACTGTTTTAGTGCGCCGTTTACTCTTATCACTAGGACAAAGGCGTGGACGCACAGAGTTAACGTTACAAGGGGAAAGACACAAACACTATTCCTTTAAAATAACAAGGGTGGAACATGGCAAATTGATGGCATTAAGTGAGTTGAAATTTTTCTATAATGGAGCAGAAGTTCCTTTGATTATGTTCCTTAGTGCTGGTGTGATGCTCTTTTGTGATGCAGGTAGCTACAGATGGACTGTGTTTGTGAGATAGACCCACAAAAGAAAAGAAAACTGTACCTCCTATCAGGCAGGAAGTACATCTTGACGTAGGGGTTCCGAGGCCGTCCGTCTGGTCGGGGTGGCAGGTCTATGGCTTGAAGGACGTTGACGATCAACTGATGGCCCACTTTGTCATACCACAGCTTCACCTGTAAAAGTGTGTGAAGAGAGTTAGTCTCTCTCCATATGTATAACCATATACATACCTCTATCTTTCAGATACTCACAGAGAGCTGTCCAGGCAGTACCAGAGGAAGGTCTCGGAGGGCCCCGGGGCTGGTAGGGGACATCACTGATATAGAGGGACGCTCCATCTTTTGTGACTCAAAGGAACTGGAGCCTGCTGTTGAAGAGGACAACAGTTGTTAGAGCCAAAAGCACAATCGACTCCAAAATGTGGAATTAGAGCGCTGATGTGTAAAGAGTGTATTTCTCTCCAGCAGCTACTCACATAAGCAGTAAACAGTAGTAATAACATATAAAAAGCTGCTCATATAAACACTTACTTGATTCTAGAGGAGGGTGGGATGACTCTGGGATTCTTGGGATGTCTCTGTAAAACGTGAAACAGAGTCAGTGAACTCTTCAACTCTTGATGTGCAGAATATACATCAAGATACTTGCAATGTAAAGACACAGTCAGGACGTTAGTGTACATTCATCTTTCAAAAAATGAATGAGGAAAAGACTGAACCAACAGTTGCATGGTAGTAGAAGAGCAAGCAGTCAATCGAATACATATTTACATATTAAACATGGTGGGCAGAAAAGGAGAGAAGGATAGCAGGAAAAAAGGGGATTTTTCTCTTGGATTTCAGGATTTCAGGAAAGCCAGGAGGGGAAGGGGTTCCACCCATTAAAGCAACACTACTTACTGATATGCTCTATACACTTTTCTCAAGAAGTTTTTGGACATAATTCGGTAGATAGAGCTTTTAGATAGAGGAAGGAGACATATCAAAAGTGTCTGTCAGAAAAGAAAATAATGCCATCACTCAAGAATTTAATGATCATTCTTACATATTAATGATGTTAATCTTACCCTATAGGTCTTGAAACAACTATTTCCACTTGAGGTTCAGCCTTGGATTCAAGGATAATGTTGTACACTTCTTTCTTAGTTGCTCCCGGCAACGACTTCCCATTCCACTGCAGCACCTCATCACCTGCAATCAAGATGGCCGACACACACAATGAATCCAGCCTGAGGCTTATCTTGCAATACATTTGACTATATAAAAAAAATAAATCTAGTTAACCAAGCTTACTAATGTTAGAGCTTTTTCCCATTCGATGCTACTTTTGGTTTGTATTATTTCAACACCTGCTGAGTCATCTGCAGATCCTGCATACATCCCACATTATTATACAAGGATGGGGTGTCTAGCTAATGTTAGCTTTCTCTCTTTCACTGGCCTCGATGTGGTGGGGGCAAATGTGACTGTCATAACTCACAGTAACAGGTAGTTCTGTAGCCTCACCTCTCCGTACATTACCACATGATTTAATCATGATGTGACGTAACGTAGGGACTAAACAATGACTGACAATATTTGTCCACAGCTGGTGGACTACCTGTGCGTCTGTTGGAAATTAACCCCTGGGTGTCCGCCAACAAAGATATTGCCCCAATCAAAGACAAAGACTGAGGATATACATACAAAAACACATTTCTTTGACTTTACAGATCTGCTTAAGATTAAGCCATTATCAACCAAGCAAAGATAAAAGTACAGTAGCTCCTGTATAGAAACAGTATGTTCAACCGATTCGCACCTGCTCGTAGATGTCCCACGACATCTGCCAGGCTGCCTTTCTTGACTTTGGTGATAAAGGCCCCAAGTCTCCCTGTCTCTGTCATCTTCCCTCCTACCACCTACACACACAAAGTAGAGAAAGGAGGATAGGAACAGAGCTTCATGTTGGCAGACTCAGAGCCATTTCTTCTTCCTGTTTTACTATTCTACATACTTATGACATGGAATACTCTTTGCCTTTCAATGTTTCCTACACCACAGTTTTCACAGGAATTACAAAACATGTTTATTTCCAGTTTGAAGTCATATCAACCAAAGCTTAAACACTAACAAATTACCACGTCTGAATGAGATGGATGCCCTGCTTACTTTTAGGCCGAGGAGGGAGCCAGCCTCACGGGGCATTGCCGACCTCTTGCTTAGCGTGATGCGTCCGATTAGGTGGTCACCCTCTTTGGACGGTTGCCATGTAACTGGATGCTGCAGAAAAAGCATTGTGAAGGAATAGAGAGAACAGTGGTAAGGAGGATGTGTTAATGTTGCTGAGTAGGATCAATCAACAAACGATTTACAATGATTGATGATACAATGAAGTAAAAGTTCTTGGTTCTTTATATTTAATTGTATGTAAACATTATTGTAATGATTCTATTTGTGTAAATATACTGTGTGTGTGTGTGCATGTGAGTGCATGTACATGTATGTGAGATATTGCAAGTATTTATGGCAGAGGCAGCACAGTAACACTGACTCTGTCATGTTTTGCTGAAACTTACGTGCCACACTGTAGGATCTAGAGAATGACAGTCCCAGTCACCTGCACCGAGAAAGAGAAACGGGGGTAATAAGTTAGATGTCCACTGCCAGTACCCAGCAGAAATGTATCTTTTATGTACAGTAAATGTATCATACTCTATGGTTTCAATTCTAAGAATAAAAGACTGAGAAAAGAAGGTCTGTTTCAAATTAAAATAAACATTTTGAAGTATTGTTCAGAGCCTCTCTTAGTCATTGTCAGGTAAGACCTCTTATAATATATCTTCCCATCCTTATCATACATGCAGGTATACTCCTTTTGGCAGGAACCACGTATGGAC